AGATTAAATACGTTTTGCTTTTATAACAATTTTTAACGTCATGTGACGTCAAGTGAAAGTGGTTCTGGTTACGCATTATMAAATACTGATTTGACTTCAATTCTATTTTAGTCTTGTGATTTATTCTAGATACATATATTCAGTATTCAGTAATCTTATTCTGCAGATGTTTTTGAAGTGGTATGTATAGTTTTTTTATATATCAAAAGTAMACGAATAATTGGAATTAATGTTGGAAATAAAAAGCATTAAAATATGCAAATTCAATATCAATATTCAAGTCACGGAATATCATACTCTTTGATGAATCGTTTTGTAGCAGTACAATTTACTTAATCTAAGTTGGTACAAGAAAAAATAGATCTGATTTTTGATCTTTWGTCGTGGTTTTCGCACATAATCGTCCGTAGAATTTATATTCAGTGAAGTGGAAATTGACCATAAGTTCATAAGTTAGCTGCATAAACATTTCAGTATTAGAGATGTTGCATGGTACGAGAAATACTCCATGACAGGCTTATGATAGGTTATTGATTTCCAATTAGTACACTTAATATATTACTATATACAATCAGCTTACCTTTGAAGTGAAATACTTGTGTTGTTTTGCTAAAAGCTACCTTTCAGTCTTACATTAATGACAAACCGTGTGCGTCARTTCTTCGYCCGACCACGCGCTAAAGCCTCATGTAGACGTTAATGTYCTCGTCATGCATCGCTTTATTTTTAATTGATTAATTTATATTCAATCAGTTATTCATGATAATTGCATTCATTTCTATTCTTCTTTTCCATTTGTACATTTTTCTTACCATCAAATGCCAAAACGTTTTCATAGCAAAATAGGAAATTTAAAAGAATTTAGGAATTTTAGAGGATTTTTTAAAGGCAAAAGACGATAATTCAGGCCGAGTGTTTTATTTTGTCTTTTTAAAATGTTTCTTTCTCGTTCTTAAGTATACAAATGTTCTATTTCTATAGGAAACTGACTTCTCTCGATCAGTTTTATCTATCAATGCATGTATTTTCATTTATTCTAATTTTTTTTTTTCGTTTTTGAATCACTACTGGATTGATTAATTGATTGATTGATTTTTTCATTGATTGATTGATTGATTAGTTGATTGATTTTTTCATTGATTGATAGATTGATTGACTGATTGATTGATTGATTGATTGATATTTTCATTGATTATTGATTGATTGATTGATTGATTGATTTTTTCATTGATTGATTGATTGGTTGATTGATTGATTGATTGATTGATTGATATTTTCATTGATTATTGATTGATTGATTGATTGATTGATTGATTGATTGATTGATTGATTGATTGGCTGATTGATAAGTTGATTGATGGATTTACTCCATTTCTCGGTATAAACGACTCAACTGGTCCAGGTGGTCAAAGRTTAGTATCCATTTCCTTCATTGTAGGWACCACTTCAAGTAGAGGATGATTGTTTGTTTCTCTGAGTGACAGGCAAAGTATGGCAGATAAGAATGCGTTCGCACCGGTGATTATATATGGTAGTAAAGGATWAACTCGAATCTGTTGAAAGTGAACAAAATTTCACTGAGCAAAACAACATCATAAATAATAAGTCTAGGTCTTAATCTCAATTCTGAAATGATTTGAAACTTAGTAAGGGTCGCATTTTCAAATTGGTCATACCCTTTCTACAATTATGGCAATAATACCACCCTCAGCTTCCATACATTCTGCTAAATGAAGCAAAAAGCTCAGAATGTACTCAAACCTTTGTGTACGAGCCATTCCAGAGAAGTGACTACACACTTCAAAACTCTATAAGAATGATACGTTGAATACTTACTGAATGTGTCACATATCCCGCTATTATTCCTCCAATGCCTGAAAACATTGCTGATGCTCCRAGAGCTACATTTCTAAAAGAAACATTAGACATAACTGTTTGGGATTTGCATGGCGAGGATCTGCATTGGGATCCTGTGGTGGGATCAGTGAGATTACGAGCTTGAAAGTACGTCTTGCCATSATCGTGTGATTTACTGGAATTTCCATCTGCATGTTTACCTTATAATTGTAGGGTAATATTCTGCCGTCAATAAATATATGCCATCATAAGATATAGTGATGAAAAACTTTGCCAGCACCATAGACATCAAGATRTTCCCAGCTAAATATCCTAGGATGAAAAAATAGTTCTAGAGGTAGTAGATTATTGGTCGGTTGGTTTGTTGCCTAGTCTCGGTTAAGTATAGTTTAAAAACACGAGAGAGGGTGTTTTATCAGGTATATATATCTTTATATCTGATAAAACACGATCTCGAGTTAACGGCTTAAAAAAAACTCCAACACTAATTTGAAACTCAAATCCGTTAAAATTCTTGGAGAAATTGCCGTACAAATATGTTCAGAGATAAATGGGGCAAACTGATAATGCGCGAATCACTTTACAAAGCACTCTTGTCATCCCACATTGAATACGCATAAAGTAAAATAGAAGCGCTCTTGGCTGTTCACTGAAATCGGTTAACATCCTGCATTGGTCATTGATCAGGTTTCAAACCTGAGACCTTTGCTAGGGTCATGGACCTTTATATCTGATAAATGTCACCCTTATTAGTATTCTTTATATAAAGAATACTAATAAGGAGTGTTTTATCAGATATAAAGGTCCATGCATGTGACCAAATAGGCTCATTCTATTGGCCTAGTAGCTCATTAATTATGTATGAGTTTTTTAAGTTGGTTAAAAGACAGGAATATTTACCTGGGCTGCCGTCGTCATAAAGTGTAAGGATGACTGAGCCAATTGACGATAAACTGGCCATGATTTGACAAAAGATAATACATTTCTTACGCCCAAACCTATAGAATAAAATAACAAATAACAAATTTATCTTTTTACTGAAAGTGCAGTTATCACCAATGATTTAACATCTTTGGTTCAGTGGGGCGTTCCTTTGCATAGATAATTTAGTAATAATATTGTTAATAATGCTGTTAATAATATTGTAAAATGAMTTAAGTAAAATACCTGTTATGAGCATATATACAAAAGAAAGTACTTAAGAGCTCTGCGAAGCCTGAAAGAAACCAATTTAAGTATGCACTACCCCCAACACTTGGAGCACTTAAATGTACTGAATCATAGATCAAGGCGTTGACAAACCTACAAAAATAAGAACGCATATCATTATAAAAACAGGAAAAAAGGTTATAAGTTGTTATAAGTCTACTTTATAAAAATCCAGATTTTTTMATTGAAAAAGCAATTATAATTAAAAGCTCTTAGAGCGCTTACTCGGGTRACAGCGTTGAGCAGTCATGGCATATACGACGCCACATTCATTGACTAGAGAACAGAGATTGACAAGATTCTTTTGACACTGAATGAAATCAGAAGGAATTTCATAATTTTTTTTTCCACTATAGATCACGTGATGTATAACGTCAAGTTCTGTGATTGACATGTCAGAAATTTGCACCTTAATAACATACAGGTTTCAATAGTACAAAGTCAAACAAGAGGAATTGCATCCAATTTACCCACGTGATATTATCATATCACTGTGCAACAACTGTAAGAAAAGACTTCTGGTTAATTCATAAACAACGTAACAACTTTTGGCCTATATGCGGCATACATAACACTGCCGTTGTTTGGGTTTTCTATGCTATCCAAAACGCTAAATTATGCATCAGAAAAAGATACATCTATCGACTAATAACATACCATGAATACCAAATGACTAACGTAGCTTTCCCGTATCCTGAGGTAAAAAGAAGTCGAACATCACCCGATGTAACTTTAGCCTCGATTTTAGGAAGCTGAATATTCTCGTCCAGAGCAGGCTTTTTGTTGATTTTYGCAATTTTTTGAATCGTTTTTAAAGCCTGGGTACTTCGGTTTGTAATCATCCATCGAAGAGAATCTGGTACAAGACTATAATTTTGAAGTACAAATTCTATCATTAAAGACATATACGACATGACTATTTTTTCATAACTATATAAAAAACATCATTTACCAGCAAGTAGGAAACACAGGGACCCCAATAAGTGCAACCAACAGAGTCAGCKTTCTCCAATCGCGAATAAGGTATCCCAAGCCAGGTAGTATCATATAACCKAAAGCATAGGACAGCCATAGACCATTGCCTATYAATGAACGATGTTTGATTCCTACGTATTCAACGACCCATACAAATGCTGTGGACGTGGTACATGCTGAAATGAACAAACCATCGGTGCCATTAAATATCACGGATTAAGTAAAATAAACAAATTGTAATGATGTACATACACTCGCCTTAAGGACGCCTCCGCTACAACGGACACCTCGATATTGCGGACAGTGAAATACTGTTCTGATGAGTCCCCGGCGAAAAATACAAAAAAATGACTGAAAGTAACTCTCGTTACTACGGACTCTCGCTACTGCGGACACTAAATTACGTTCCCGAGGGTGTCCGTAATAGCGAGAGTTGACTGTAGCTGCATGAGCCCTTTCGATATTGAATCGATGCACTAGTTAGATTAAACTTACCGCCTCCAAATCCAGCAAAAAAGACGGGAACCGCGGCCATCAAGTAACTCGTTGAAAAGCTGATTACTAGGAAAGAAGCACAGTACAAAAATCCAGAAGCAAAGAAAACGATCTTTCTTCCATATTTATCAGACAATAAGCCACCAATCAGAGAGCCAGCTATAAATCCCGTCGATGRCATYGTGTTAATGTGTTTACCGAATGTAGATTTGTCACAAACCAAGTCAAACTGTTAAAATGATAAAAATCTGTGGTTAAAACACGATGACGTAGTATTTTGGTTTTCATTTAAAATGTAAACTTATAACTTCAAAACATTTTAACCGATCAATGTTAAAACATCATAACTAATCGAACTTCAAGTAAAATACGACATTTTATTCTTAACAAAACCTAAAAATTTTAGGACTAATACTCTTTTAGTTTTCTTWAAGTAGAGTTTTACTTTCAAAACTATAATGACAACAATCTATTTTGGCTGGCGAGATGTTCATAACCAACCAACCTACATTTACGACAACGAAATCTTACAAAATTCGGCACTCAGTCTTTTGCCTTTTAAGTTTTACTTACGATGAAGGTGTTCTAAACACAGCATTTTTGAAATCATTTGAAGGACGTTTTAAAAAATTTCCCTTTAACAAAGGGACATAGATATATCATCCCCTATACTGACATATGACATAAAAATGTTATTTGATGGTTAAAATAACTTCAATTGTTATTACACCAAAAACCTGAAGTAAAAACGACTTCACCCAACTATTTATCTGAAARGAGACAACTTAACAAGGGAATTGCAACATGATTTMAAAATGTATGTGAAAACATTAAACTTTTGTAAGTTTCAAAATGGGATCAAAGTGACCTCGTGACTTGGGTGGAGATGACTAGACGAGATGAGATAAGTTTATAGACAACTTTCAAACTGTACTATGATATATGTGCATATATTGGCTCTCTGCCAAACTAGGAATATTATTGCTTCATTGTAAGTTTACCTGGGTTACAAGTGATGTATATTCATCTACAAACTTCCATTCTTGGCGAGGAATACCGCATCTGTAATCATAATTCGCTTCTCCAGGACCTATCGACTCAGTTAGATTGCAAATCGTACTGTTTTGGACACACTGCCATCTTGGCTCGGCAATTATGAAATAGGTGACAGCCAAAAAGACAGCCCAGCAAATAACAGCATAGATTGCAAACACCATTAGAAGCTTTTGGTAAAGGCCAAAGCTTCCAATTCTAGTGAGCAAGTTTTCAGTAGTGAACCTCTTATTGTTCTCCATGCCGAAAAGTAGCAAGCAACTGACGGACCAATGACCTTTCAAGCCCTTAGTATGTTAAGTAAGGTAATATATATACTTAAGGGCTTATTATTTCAGTCAGGTTTGGGCCGATCACTTCGTTGTCAAAAAKGTAAATCAAAGGTCAGCAAATGAATAAAGTTATGTAACTAAAGTTAGTTTTTCAGGGGAGTAGTCGGTTCGTAAATCAGCTTATGAA